TTTGCAGGCCCCTCCAATATGATCGATGCCCGCGGCCAACTGATGTGGTCAACCGCCCCTGCGCGACGGTGTGCTTTCACGCAATAAGCGATAAGCCTTCTTGGAATCGAACCGTTGCAAAGTCCATTTCATAGCGCGAAGCGTTCTCTTGGTCTGCGACGCCCCGCTGTAGGAGCTGAGGCTGTAGGTGTCGATGGTGAGCTAATTATCGACCCTGGCCTTTGGCATGGCGAAACGATGTAACTTGCCCACATTGCTGCTCAGGCAGGTGACAATCCAGTCGCGGGAAGCGCTGTAGGTCTCGGCCGCAAGCTTCAGCTCCAAATTCCTGGCGACGGCGTCTGCGCAACCGGACAAGGCCCTCGCTGCTTGGACAGGAGCGTTGTGGATAGTCAATAGACTTGTAGCCCAGCGCACTCGATCTTGGCATGCGACAGCTCCAAGACCCTGCGAGGGCGCGCCGGCTGCGGCATGGCGCAACTGCTGCTCGAGAATATCCACTCTCGCGCGAGGTCGCCCTCTGCTGGGAACGCGCCTCGGGCAAGGAAGTCGGGAAGGCCTGGGCTCATGAATTGCCATTGCGACGTTGAAAAACTCACGCAGCCATCCTTGGATGCGCATGCACCACTTGAGGGGCGCGTCAGCGCGGCTTCTTGCTTGACCTGTGGCAGCGACTGGAATAGCAGAGAGGGCGCGCCCCCCCCCCCCCCCTCTCGTCCGCCACATTGCCATTGCACTGCCATCGGCATGTCGAGTACTCTGCACAGGCACAACTCCAAGCAAGATATCACGCGCCTGGAAGCGCGCCCCAGCCGCACCGACGCCGCTGGAGCACATTGATACGAAAGCGAACTCGAGATCCAAGGAGGCGGCGTTGACCGCGCGCTCTTGGTTAGCATGCTGCTGCTGATTTCACTCCAGAGGTGGTCTCAGTAGGTCAAATCCCGTGTGGCGAAGGAGTCGACCTGGCCACGCTGCCCCTCTTCGGTGGCCGCCTCCGCCAGGTCGAGATGCGCGGCGCCCTGGCACGAAGGGCGCAGCGCAACCTGGTCGCAGGCGCCGAACTCCTCGGCCAGGCGCGGCTCGGTCTGCTCGGGGAAGGCGGCGCTGGCAAACTCGGCGCGCTGAGTCTCTGGGCCCTGTCCTCGCTATCTGGCTCGACGTTCTTGGCCTCTGTCAGCGCGACAGTCGTTCCATGCTCGCGGTCTAAGATCGCGAACACGTCTGTCTCGTCGCCCATAGTTCTGGAAATCGATCTCCTCGCGACATGCGGCGAAGAAGAAGTCTGCGAATCCGATCCTACAGCCGTCTTAGCTCGCGACGGTGTAGCTCCGATTGAACGCGACGTCGCAGGGTGCTCTTGCTCCTGCGCCTGCGCTTGTAGCCCTCGCGGTTGCCGCTCGCCACTGCGCTCGCCGTTGGGGCCCGCCCCTACACGTCGAGGCGGCGGGGGCGCGAACGGCTCGGTCAAGCTAAGCGCGCGGCGCCGATTGAAGTGCGGCGTGGGCCTCAAGACAAACTCGACGCCGTAGTGGTCTCCACTGTCTGGGGAAACCAACTCCGAGGAATGATGCCCATTTGCGAAGTTCTGCGACGTGGCATAAGTAGTCGATGATCCTCTGCCCTGCCCCCCGCGCAGATGCACGCGCGGCGCTCACGGGGCAGCGGGCTCTGGCGCCCCACTGTTCGGCCCGGGCCTGCATCTCCTGAAGGGTGGCGTTGATATCCCAGAAGACTGCCCGCGGTCCTTCGCGTGGCGATACGAGCGCTGGAATAGTAGAAAACCCTCGGCATTGGGCCCATGGGAGATGCCCGTAGACGCTGGGAAAAAATGCCGATGATGAGGAGTCGGACATGTGCTGTCTCCCACATAACAGCAGGAATATGACGAAGCTTGACAGGACCAGGCGCGAAAAAGGCCGCTTGGCCGATCACCCCGCAAGCGCAGCTAGCGTCGCCAGCCAAGCGGCGAAAATTATGGAACTGAAATTGCCCGCGGATGCCCATCGCGACGCCCCCCGCTCTGTCTCGCGCGCTGGCAAGGAAAAATGGGCAGACCGCGCCAGCGAGCCGGCGCTGGCCCAAAAGGGAGACGTCGTTCGCGCCGCCCTGGAGGACGCGCGCCTCGGGCGCGAAGATGAGGTCGCCCGCGCGCTCTTGGAACTGGGACTTGGTCATGGCGCCCCACAGCGAAAGACTATCTAGGACCACTGCGCGCGGGACCTCGGTGAGATGATCGCGCGCGTGCTTCCCAGCGCAATGCAAACGCGTGGTGTCGCGGCTAAACCCGCGACTCCGACTTTTGTTTGACCTCCTCCAAGATCGCGGCGACAGAGGGCCGAGCTTCCTGGAGGAGGCGCCCCACGACGTCTATGTCGGGGACCGTCGCACCACTCGAACCGCTTGCTGCAGTCTCGACAAGGGCGCCCATCTCCTCGCCCTTGTCACCTGCTTCAGCTGAGACTGGAACTGACTCGGCAGCGGGAGGCTAACCTCGAACACATCTACAACTACACACAGCAAAACTGCACCTTGTTGCGGGGACCAAGGGTGGCAATCATAACTCGATTTGGCGCGTCGGTCGGTCTGGGTGGACGGACGCCGCCTCGCGACCTACGATGGAATGCGACGGTCGCGCCGACGACGTTGCGTGCCGAGCGTGGGAGCGATCACCACGTTTCACGGCGAAGCTTGGCGGCAGCCGCAAGAAGAATCACAACACGAAAAAGCGCTCACCCTCGGACGGGGAATCCGGCACGAAGAAGAATTTGAAAACGCGGGGGGTCGGATCGCGAATTTGCTGCTGGGGCACGGGCGGGGGAGGGAAGCGGGCTGCGCGATGTCGAGGCCCCCAAGCATACGGCTGGTCTCGCTGATCGGCGGGGAGCGGCCCAGGGGGCGGGGCCTCGGCGATGGGCAGCGCGGGCAGCCGATGCTTCGCGAAAAGGGGACACGCACAGCACGGCACTTAGCGGCCGGGGCGCGGTACACGCTGGGGGCGCGAGTGGCGCCACCCGACATGCACCCCGCCCCGCCGGCTAGGTGCAGTTCTATAAGTGCTCAGTTTTGTGGGGATGTCTCCGGCGAAACCAGCGCGTACAAAACTACACCTCGTGCCCGGCTAGGTGCACTTCTGAACGCGCTGGATGTCTCGCGCGGGGCGAGCACGCACAGACCGGCACCTAGCGAAAGGGGCGGGGCACACGTCGGGCACGTCGCGCGCCCCCTCCGCAGAGTCAGGAAGGCAAGGGCCGCTGAACCCCCTGCCGGCCTCCAGGCGGAGGTGTCTGAACGTCCTGGGGCTATCAGAAGGAATTCCAACTGCGGCCTCCGCCAACATCGCTCCCCCTATCAAAGTATCTCGCCTGGTCACTATGTTCGCAATTCCCGCCCGCTGCTGTGCCCTCCCCCCCCCGTTCTTCCTCTACCTGCCGCCCTCCATTTCCCTGAGCGCGCCCTAGTTGCCCCCGGCCCCTGCGCGGCGGCAAACGCCCGCGCCCCCCCGCAGCTGAAAGACTCACCTTGCGCTCATCCTCCAACCCACTCGTGAGGCGCAAGCCTTGATTCCAGACTGACACTGTCAAGAGACGCCGAGGCCCCGGCAAATCCAACAGGCGCGATCGGCCCCCTCGAATGGCGGGCGAACCAATACGTAAGACGATGACGCAAAAGTAAATTTGGAATTCCGGGATCCGCGCAAGAAGCTAATCCACTCGCCCAAAGTGTAGTTCCATGCCTGTCCGATAACCAGCCGCCCCCGGCAGCCCTCCTGCTTCCGCCCCCCGTCGCTTGCTGGCCACACGGTCGCGGAACTGCTCGACTACGTACCCGCGCGACGCATTGCCTTGAGCTGACGGGCCAACTGCTTGGACAAAGAGAGACTTGATGTCTTTTGCGAGGCCCTCCTTGAAATTCTGCCATTGCTTTACCTCCGCACTGGAGAGTTCGAGCCCATCAAAGTTGAAAATGTCTCCGCCTTCAAAATGAAGAAGGCCTTCCAGAGTAGCTTCATCTGAATGCTTCTGGAAGAGAGCGGGCAGGTTCAAGGCGCCCGCTGCTGCTGCTGACTGAGATTAGGGCTCGCCCAAAGACTCATTAAATACTTGCTGCGCTTCTTGAATGATCTTCTCTGAATCTACCGTGGAAGAGTCGATGGCCACGCGTTGAGTATTTGCCTTGGCCTGGCCCACCCATTTTTGACATGACTGCTCGTGTTGAACAGCTCGCTGAAGCGTTTCCTTGGCTTCGCGGACCGCCACAGAAGCTCCCTGAAGCCGTTGCTCGCGAAGCAGAACTGGACGAACTGGTATTTCCTTCGGGGCTTATGCTCCAGCGACCACAGCCTCGATGCGACCTTTTGCCTCTGGAACATGTTCCCCCAGACACTGCAACATCTGCCCCAGAATGAGTGCAAACGGGGAGCTCGGGTTCCGGATGTTGTGGGTCGTGGAATTCGGAACCCAGGCTCCGGGCGGCTCCGCTGCAAAAAGACTGGGATGTACAGAAGAGTGTTCCGTGCTGCGCGTCCACCACGGCGGAGTGCTGTCGCGTGACCACGGAATTTGAGGCCGAGGTGGTGTGCATTGAGCAGGTTGCAGCCGAGCTCCACATTTCCAGCATAATGTATGATTGCGAACGTTCACTTGGTAGTGGCAAGAAGAAGTGCAAGCGATATAACCGGCCCTATGTTGTCGCATCTTCTGACCGCCCTTGGAACTTGCCATGGGAGCCCAATGAAAAGGCGAGGCTCGCCTTCACCAGCGCGCAGCTCGACTGATGTGGCCTGTAAAAAACCACTGAGGCTGGCCGCGGACTAACGATATCCACATTGTTCCCAAAGGAAACGAACCTCGAGCCAAAATGGTTGCGGAAGGAAGAGGAGGAGGAGGAGGAGGAGGAGGAGGAGGAGGAGGAGGAGGAGGAGGAGGAGGACGAGGAGGACGAGGAGGACGCACGGGAGGAAAACGGGGAAGAACTGGAGCTGCCCACGGGCGCTCCCCTCAGAAGAGCTCGCCGTCCCCGGACCCCGTGCCCGGCGGGCCTGCCCCGGACCCGGCGGCGACCCGGCGGCTGCCCCCGCCGCCGCCGCCGCCGGTGCTCCCCCGAGGCGACGCCGACGGCGACGACGACGACGATGACGACGACGGCGACGACGACGGCAACGACGACGACGGCGACGGAGACGACGGCGACGGCGACGACGACGGCGACGACGACGACGACGACGGCGGCGGCGGCGAAGGCGGGGGCCGCGGCGGCGGCGGCAGCGGGCGGGGCCCGCCCGGTTGGCGGCTGCCCCCCGCCGCTCCCCGCGTGCCCCCACCAAGAGAAGAACGAGCAACTGTTATGTCGGGCATGTATCCCTGCATACCGATTTTGGAACAAACAACATAGTTCCCACGTATTTCAAATCCGCCGATCCGGCGTGTGAGTTTCTGAGGGCGTGGGCTTGAACTCGCTCAAGTTTCGCGGGGGGGGGCTCATTTCCGACCTAATTCGGTGCTTCGGGAGTGGGGGGGGGACCTGATTTCCCGACCTAATTCAGTGCTTCGCACCCCCTCCCCCTCCAGAGCGAGCCGTCCCCCCCGCAGAGCGCCCCCCCCCCCTGCCCCCCTGCCCCCCCAGCCCCCCCTGCAGAGCGGACCCCCCTCCTGCCCCCCCTTGCAGAGCGGACCCCCCCCCCTCCCCTGCACACCCTCCCCTGCAGAGCAGACCCCCCCATGCAGAGGGACCTCCCCCTGCAGCCCCCCCCCCTGCAGAGCGGACCCCCCCCCCCTCCCCTGCACCCCCCCCCTTGTAGAGCAGACCCCTTCCCTGCACCCTCTCCCCCCCTGCAAAGCGGACCCCCCCCTGCACCCAGCCCCCCCCCCATGCAGAGCGGACCCCCCCCTTGCAGCCCCGCCCCCCTGCAGAGCGGACCCCCCCCCCCCTCCCCTGCACCCCCCCCTCCTGCAGAGCAGACCCCCCCTCCTGCAGCCCCCCCCCCCCTGCAGAGCGGACCCCCCCTCTCCCCTGCAGCCCCTCCCTCTGCCGAGCGGACCCCCCCTGCAGAGCAGACCCCCCCCCCTGCAACCCAGCTCCCCCCCCGTCGTCGTCGTCGTCGTCGTCGTCGTCGTCGTCGTCGTCGTCGTCGTCGTCGTCGTCGTCGTCGTCGTCGTCGTCGTCGTCGTCGTCGTCGTCGTCGTCGTCGTCGTCGTCGTCGTCGTCGTCGTCGCCGCCGTCGTCGTCGTCGTCGTCGTCGTCGTCGTCGTCGTCGTCGTCGCTCGCGTCATCGTCGTCGTCGTCGTCGTCGCTCGCGTCGTCGTCGTCGTCATCTCCGTCGTCGTCGTCGTCGTCGTCGTCGTAGTCGTTGTCGTCGTCGCTCTCGTCGTCGTCGTCGTGGACGTATTCGTTTTTGTCGTCGTTTTCGTCTTCCTCGTCGTTGTTCATTTCCACAGGCGCCCGGAGCGCCCCGGATCGGCGGCACTGGCCGGAGGCCACTACAATAGTCATAAACAATCGTGAAATAAACTATATGTGGACACCCCGTGCGCAAAGGGGAAAAGATATGCCCGACTTAGAGCAACCGCACAGGAAAAATAACTGTCGGAGCTCCGCGCGCCAAGAAAGAAGTCCCAGCGCCGACGCAAACAATCCGCACGGGGCTCCGAAAGTCAACGATCATGCCGCGCCAGGTTTTTCGAACCGCCACCGCCCTCGAGGAGGACCGACGACGAGGAGAGAATCGAAACGTGCGGGGTTGGTGCGAGACGTTGGCTTCGCCCACGAGGCGCAGGCAAGCATGGTTTACATTCAACCCGTACGTTAAGGACGCACGGCACGGACACAAGAGCCTCGGAAGGCCATGCCGAAGCTTTCAGAGAAGGGCGCGGCCAACGAAAGTGGGCAATAATGAACCGAGGAGGCAAGGATGCACGCGTGCCCTTGGGAAAGTTGCCCATCCTGAACCACCATGCGGGTCGACTGCATCCCCAAATTACCAAACCCCGGCTGTGGCCCCTGGAGAGAAAAAACAGAGCCATCATGGTCGATACGGTACTCCGGCGGGCCCTCCGAGACCAAATAGGATCCAGGCCGGACTTCCGCACAATTGTCGGAAACATGGGCAAAACCATCGTTGTGTGCGAATGTATCGGTGCCACCTGGCCGGAAACCAGAAAAGTCCCCGTACAAAAACAAAAAACGCTGCTCGCGTGCTGGTGACGCCCTTGTCGGTGTTGCTTCTGCAGAGAGTGATGACCACGGACGAGCTCGAAGCTGGACGGCGGCATACCACACAAGTCGCCCCAAAACGGTACCACTGCTGAGACACGGTGGGCGCGCGCCCCCCCCCTGGACCGCACCCGGACAGGCCGCCTCCGCGTGAAGAGTCCGCCGCAGCCACCTCAGAGCAAGCGGGCGGGGCGCCCGAAGAAATTTGGAGCGGCCCCGGTCGCACGGGCAGCTCGGGCAGAGGGTATACTCTCCTCCCCCCCTCCCATCCCCTCCCCGTCCCCACTCCTTTTCCTCCCCATCCACCCCTCGCCAATCTCCTTTCCCGAGACTTTCCCGCCCTTTCTCTCCGCTGCTCCCTACCCTCGCCCCCGCTCCTCGTCACCCCCGTCCCCATACACTCCTTCTCCCTCGCGTCCCCTCGCCTCCCATCATCCTCCCTCCCCGCCTCCTCTGCACCACTCCTGCCCCGCGCCACCTCTTCTCCCCTCGACCCTCCCCTCGCCTCGCCTCCCAGGCCCCCTGCCCGCGCCGCCCTCCCCACCACGTGTCGCTATACCCCGATCGTCCCCCGACGCTCCTCCTCGGACGTGGTAGTTCATCGTGACGTGCCCTCCCTGGCATCCCAGGCTGCTCTGCTGGCCCCCCTTGGGGGCTGGGAGGCTGCCTCTCCCCGATAGGGCCGAAGACATCAAGAGAGACCGGGCGCTCTGGCGTGCGCTGCGACGCCCCGCCGCGCTGCCGTCGAAAATCATCAGAATAGTCCAAAATTGTCAAAACTGACCAAACATCGTTTTTTATCAGAGAGTATGGCATTGTTATGGAAAAAAGAAGGGGGAACAAAAAAAACGGCCCCAGACTACTGTTAAAACGATTCTTTTTCTATTCCTGAATATTCCTCCTGTAGAGGGACAAGCCCGATTCAACCCCAGTCCCCGGCGCGCCGCCAGGAGGGCCCTGGCCGCCGCTGCCGCTGGCGCCAGACCCGGACGAGGGGGATCCCGACGACGTGCTCGAGGACGGCTTGCCCACGTCCTGCGGAGGGCAAAGGCTGGGGCCCTCATCCCCGTCTGGTCCTCCTCCCCGTCCTCCACCTCCTCCTCCTCCTCCTCCTCCTCCTCCCTCCTCCTCCTCCTCCTCCTCCTCCTCCTCCTCCTCCTCCTCCTCCTCCTCCTCCTCCTCCTCCTCCTCCTCCTCCTCCTCCTTCCTCCTCCTCCTCCTCCTCCTCCTCCTCCTCCTCCTCCTCCTCCTCCTCCTCCTCCTCCTCCTCCTCCTCCCTCCTCCTCCTCCTCCTCTCCTCCTCCTCCTCCTCCTCCTCCTCCTCCTCCTCCTCCTCCTCCTCCTCCTCCCTCCTCCTCCTCCTCCTCCCTCCTCCTCCTCCTCCTCCTCCACCTCCTCCTCCTCCTCCTCCTCCTCCTCCTCCTCCTCCTCCTCCTCCTCCTCCTCCTCCTCCTCCTCCTCCTCCTCCTCCTCCTCCTCCTTCCTCCTCCTCCTCCTCCTCCTCCTCCTCCTCCTCCTCCTCCTCCTCCTCCTCCTCCTCCTCCCCCTCTCTCTCCTCCTCCTCCTCCTCCTCCTCCTCCTCCTCCTCCTCCTCCTCCTCCTCCTCCTCCTCCTCCTCCACCACGTGCCGGAGCAGGATGCGGATACCGCGAACTCGGCAGACCTCTCCCGAGGTGTTTTCTGCTGCCTGCCACGCAGGGGTGCTCGGGGCGGAACACGCGGCACCCCTCGCAGCTGGGGGCACCCCAGGGGGGGGGCGGAGGGACCGGGGAACGCGAGCGGACGACCTGTCACCAGTCCTGGCCAAGCCCAACCTGGGCCCCATACGTAGAGGCCTCAAAGATGGGGTCCGGATAGATGGGGTCGAAGGATCGCGCCGCATCGCCAATGCATCGCCAATGCATCGGCAATGCATCGGCGACGTCGGCGATACATCGGCGACGTCGGCGTGGGGAAACGCCGGCTCCACGTCGAGCCGCATCGTCGATGCATCGGCGATGCGACGCGATCTCCGACCCCATCTACTCCGACCGCATCTAGGAGGCCTAGAATACATTCCCTCACATCCGACGCTGCAATATCACAGAAAATCGCGGCCAGAGCCCTGGACCCCATATCACCGCGTCAGTTCTCCAGCCCGATCGATCTGTGAGGCCCAGGGCCCGAAGCGCAGCGAAAACGCCCGAGGGGGAACCATTGCAGTGCCAATCCCTGAAGCTCCGACGACCTGTCGGTCCCGGAGGGCCGTGACCAGTGGTCGGGCCCCGGGACCACTAGCAAACCGATCCAGGACGAAAAACGGCCCCAGGAGAAGCGGTAAGGGGCCGCGGATTAGAGAAATCATATCTAGAGGCCTCCCAGATAGGGTCGGAGTACAATGGGGGCTGATCCACGAAAAACCTTCCACATCAAACCCAACCCTGAGACCCCAGGTCGTTCATTGATTTTTGGTGTTGGAACGTCACGCCTTTCACAGCGAAACCATCGAAACCAAAGAGACCCAGGGCACCCTGGAGGCAAGCAGGGTGTTTCTTGGTATGGGCCCCCACTGTAGATGGGGTCGGAAGATCGCGCCGCATCGCCGGTACATCGACGATGCATCGGCGATGCATCGGCGACGCAACGGCGACGCACCGGCGATGCATCGTCGCCGTCGGCGATGCATCGGCGACGCCGACGTGAAGCAAATCGGGCTCCACATGGAGCCGCATCCAGCGCCGGGGCGTCGGCGATGCGGCGCGACCCTCCGACCCCGCATCTGCTCCGACCCCACCGAGGAGGCCTAGCAGAGCTACCCCAGGAGAACTCCGACCCCGCATCTGCTCCGACCCCGCCGAGGAGGCCTGGCAGAGCTGCCCCCGGAGAGAAGCGGTCGGGGCCACGGATCGAGGAGAGCGCGTCGGCGGGCGCAGGCGCCCTCCGTGGCCGGGCCAGGGAGGCGCGCCCACCCCTCCTGGGCCCTGGAGGGCGTGGTTTGCAGAGGGAGGAGGGAGGAGGAAGGAGGGAGGAAGGAGGGAGGAGGGGGATGAGGAGGAGCATGAGGAGGAGGATTTCGAGGAGGAGGGAGGAGGAGGAGAAGGAGGAGGAGGAGGGGGAGGAGGAGGAGGAGGAGGAGAGGAGGGGAGGAGAGGAGGAGGAGGAGGAGGAGGAGGAGGAGGAGGGAGGGAGGAGGAGGAGGAGGAGTGGAGTGGAGCAATCGGACGTAGTCCGTTCGGAACCCAGAGATGCCAGGGGGGCCATCCAGTTTTTCTCGGAGGGCCGTGGGGGGCGACATCCCACGGCCCACCGCGACAGGCCCCCCTGGCCTCGCAATTTACTCAGAGGCAGCTCCCGCCGCGTAGGAACCGATCGCGGCTTCGGCTGCCGAAACATGCAAGGCTTCTAGCACAGACTTGCTGGGACCCGTTCTGGACGGGTGGAGGCCTCGCTTGATCCTGCTGAGGTTCTCGAGGCCTTTGCCAGTGGGTCCCATGGCCCTGCGCTCTCCGACTTGGTGGGAGAGAGGGCACGGCAAAAGAAGGCTTTTAACTTGGTGCGTGGCAGTGTGGCCGCACTTAACACAGAAAAACAATTGCCACTTGGGGATGGTGGCCAAGGTGTGGGAGGGGTGGATCAACTTGCCACTGATCACACGGGGTCCCCTCGACCACAGCACTTCACCACATGCGGCGAACTCGGGGAGGGGGCTAGGCGGTACACATTCAGTGGCGGCAGCTGGAATAACATGGCAAGCATCAACGATGATGAGGCAGGCAGGGCATCTCCATTTGTCTGCACAGCGCTCGAATTTGTGCTGAGAAGCCGCGATCGCGGTCTGCAACTGCGAGCGCGGGGCAGCCTCCTGGTGGGGTTGCCTCTCTGGCCACTGCCCTCGGGGGTCCGAATTCTTGCCTAAGGTACGTAGAATCAGTCGCCCTCTCTGTCGGACGATGGCAGCGATAGCATCGTATTCATCGGTCCTGGGGACGGGCGGGAGGGCGAGGGTGGCCGACTTGTGGGCCGCTCTTCCCGCAAGCTCGTCGGCATGCTGGTTGCCGAGAGCCAGAATTTTTTGGAAGCCATGCAGCGTGAGGGGATCGGCGTGAGATGGGGTCCAGAGCACCGTGACAGAGGCGCCGCCGCCAGATCGATCTTGCACGAGGTGCCGAATTCTCAGCCAGAGATCTCCATTCTTATTCTTGCCTCTGAGGCTGCCAGGTCTGAGACATCTGCCATTCTGCCAGCCGCGCCGCAGGGCTAGATGATCGGTAACAAACGTAAACTCCTGGTGGCACGTCTCCAGTGCCAAGCAAAACGCATGCAATTCACCTCTTGGGACAGTCTGGCGGGGGCCTGGGAGGGGGGCGAGGAGGCCCGCGTGGAGGGTCCAGGAGGCCGAGGGAGGGTCCCATCGGAGGGCCGCGAGGCCAGAACCAACACGGCGTCGCCTGACGTCGTCGGAAAATGCGCCTCCAGACCCGTCGCCGAAAAGAAATAACTCGCCCTCAGCGTTACGAGCTTCTTCCCATGACGGCAACCCCTCCCGCACCGCACCAACAAACTCCCACCCGTCCCTCCCAGTCAATGGCTCGAACGCGGGCGTAGTGAGAGCGACAGAGGGGATGCCACGGAGCCAAAGGGCAGGGTCTGCATTGGCTCCCGCCACGGCTCGCGGTAGTAGTTTGTCGCTGGCCTCAAAATCAGGTCCCACATTCGCCTCGCACTGCCACATTCGGTGAAACAAGGTCTCAGGTACTCCTGCACTGCATCGGTCACAGTTCTTGTCGATCTGGTAGCCCGCGTTGTAGAGGCGGTCCCTGGTCCATTGTCCACCACTGATGACGGTGTTGTTGAGGGCCCAATCGCTGAAATCTCCGTTTGCGAGGAACCTCCTTTGTTCGATGCGTATGGTGACCATGTCCGCGCCTCCAGCCAGCGTGTCACCATGGTCATGCGTAGCGGCCTGAGTCCAGAGGAGCCTGTGCAAATCCTCGCTGAGGTCCTGCAATACTGTGTGGATGTCGGCGTCGAGGAGATCAGGGTCATCGGCGGGGGGAAGGTTCCACTCCTCGATGTAGCCGTCCTTCGTGCGTCTCCACGTAGTAGCTGTAGTCGGGTCCCAGCTGGCCTCCAGCAAGGTCGCGATGGCCGCGCCTGTGGGCCCTTTGACCCTGCACCACAGCTTGGGGCCCGCGGCTAGCAGGGTGGTCTTGATCCTTGGCCATGCTCTGATAATCCTGGCGTGCGTGCTCGGGTGCCGTATCCAATGCTGCAGCCACGCCTCGATGAATTCGATCCTGAGGGAAACTCCTGGGTCCATGCCGTCGAAGGTGGCGCCCAGGAGAGAGGTGAGGCATCGGCCCGCTGCTGCTCCCGTGGCTGCAATAGCGGCCTGACGCCGCCATCGTAGTAGAGCGTGCCGAGCGAGACCGTGCACTTGATGACCGAATACCCCTTCGGGGAGAGCTCCAGTACGCCAGAGTCCTGCTGAGATTCGAGCCTGCAGGGCAGTACTCCGTAGTCGGTGTATCTTACGAAACCTAGCTGCGGCTGAGCTCTGTCGCTTCCTGGCTTTGGCTTGTACCCGTCGTGTAGCCGCGGCCGCGTCAACTCCGAGGTCGACGGCCGCGGCGGTCGCAGTGACTGGGATGTCGTACAGCCGCAACTTCTTAGCTAGCAACTTGCGGACCTTGGGTGTGGAGCCAATGAGGACCGTCTTGTCAGAGATGGGCAGCTCGAACTCCTTCAGACCGTCGCAGAGCGTCTTAGCTGCGCTGGGGAGGTGCTTCAGCAGTGTGCGTAGGACTCCTTCGGCTCGAAGGACCGTGTCGTCAACAAAGGTCCACATCTGGGCTAGCTCTGCCTGAGCTTGGGCTTGCCGTAGAATAGGAAGTAAAATAAGTCTTGCCAGGGTCGTGCCGTGCGGGGAGCCTGCGATGATGCCTTTGTAGGCGAAGATAGGCATACTCACCCATTGTCTACTGCGCAAGAATCTGGGCGCCAGGTATAGCTGTACTTCCAGTAGAAGAATGATGGGGGGGAATCCGCAGTTGAGG